GCGCGCCCGCCCGCCGGCGCCGCCCGGCAGCGCAGGTGGGAGCCGTCCGGGGTCAGGTCGGCCCGCGGGCTCCGAGTCCCGATGCGGGTCGCGGGGTGGGGTGTGGGGAGGCAGCCGCGGGCACTGCTGGCCGGGACGCTTTGGCAGGTCCTGGGACCCCGGGGCTCCTTGCGAACCCCAAGCTGGAGGCGCACCGGGTCCCTCATATTCTTTTCCTTTTCTTCTTCTTTTAATCCTCAGCCGAGGGTATTTTCCCGTTGATTTTAGAGAGAGTGGAAGAGGGAGGGAAAGAGAGAGAAATATCGATGTGAGAGACATACATCCTACAGGCGCCCTGACCCCGGCGAGGGCGAGGGAAGAGCCTGCAATCGAGGTACGTGCCCTTGACCGGAATCGAACCCGGGACCCTTTGGTCTGCAGTCCAACGCTCTATCCAAGGAGCCAAACTGGCTCGGGCTCCTTTTCTTTTTTTATCCTGCCTTCAAGCCATCCGTGGGCAGCCATGGGGAAAAGTTGAATCACCCGGAGAAACCTCTCCAAGAAAGAAAACCCAACTCACTCCCGCTGGCCCCTCAGATACCTTGATCGGCTTGGGGAGGAGGGGTTCAGTCCCCAGGTCTCCTAGCTCCCTCCCTCCCCTCTGGCGGTGGGGGTGGGGAGAACATTATATGTTCTGCGTTCTATTTTAATTTGTATTTTATTACATGTTCTCTTTCCCACCTATCATTATACCAGGAGAATTTAATTACCTGAGTCCCCATAAATCCTTGTGCACCCTGGTGTCGTGTCCTTCCTCCATGAAGCCCTCCATGATCAACATCCCAGGACCTGATATTCTGACTCCTGGACCTCAGTGTTTCATTGTCCCCACTGTCCAGATCTTTCTGTTGTGGTTTTGTCTCACTAGCAAACTAGAGTTCAGTGACTGTGTGAGAAATGAATGAATGGCACATTCCAAAGATTTGACGTCACATATCAGGGCCCACCAACTCTGTTGTCCTATTATTGCTTCTTTGGTGGTTTGAGTGAGTTGGGTCCTTGTTTATTTTCTGCCTCTCCCCTTTCTTGGCCTTGCTCTCCGGTAAGGATGACAACACAGCCTTCGGAGGGAATCCTTTACTTATGCCATACCTTGCCCAGGGGGGCCAGTACCACCTCCCCCCTCTCCCCCATTTTGCAGATGGGGATGCTCAGAGGCTGAATCTTCTCTAGGGGCAGGACCAGGGCCTGCATGGGTCACACTCATGCAGGTGGGTGTGGGGCCCAGGCATGGAGGGAACATGCAGCTCAGCTTAGGCCATCTCTGTGGCCATGTGTAATTTTCACAGTTTGATTTCTGCCGCTGCCACTGCCACAGGAGAGGTCCATCACTGGGCAGATGGCATTGCTTGGGCCCAGTGCCCTTAGCCTCCAACCAGCCTACCTCCATTCCATATACATGCTGACCTTGTGCCCCCAACCCTTACTCCACTTCCTACCTGACCCAGGACGACAGTGTGCCCCAAAACCATGGCTATGGCTTCACATTCATTTACTTTAATCTTCACAATAGCCTGAGGAGGAAGTTTCTCTTTGTATCATCTCCATTTTACAGATGGGGAAACGGAGGTTCAGAGAGGTTCGGGACTCCCCAAGGCCACAAAGCTGGTGAGTGACAGAGCACAGACTTCAATCCTGGCAGGCTGGCTTAGGCTGTGCTGGGCTTATAAGGTGGAAAGGTGGGAGTTGGAGGGGAAAGGCCTTCCAGGCTCAGCCACGGCCTCAGTGTCTCCAGTACAGAGTCCAAGTCCTGCTCTGCGACCTTTTCAATCAGTGAACCCCCTCTGCCTTAAGTTCCCCAGGAAACATGGGGGTAATTGCATTGCCCCCTGGCTGGGGCTGCCTCCAGGACACCATAACAGGTTCAGAGCCAGGCACTCAGATTGTGTGGGTTGCGGGCTGCTGAGTTTGGGGTGCCAGAGAGAAAATTTGGAGGACAGGTCAGCATGGGGGCTGAGGAGGCAAACAACCCGGGGTGATTTCCTGACATGGGGGAGCCCACTGTAGTGCCCTTTGCCCTGGGGATTGGGCTCAAGGCTTTGGCTGCCCCATGGTGGGGCAGAAATTGCAAGATCCCTATGGAGCAAAAGCTAGAACCAGAGTTAGTCAAACC